TTCCCACTTCAAAACAACTGCTGCTTAACTGTGGAGGGACTCCAGGTGGATAGCCCAGGTCAAGAGTTCTAATCATATTGAATAGCAGAATACCACTGCTCAATAAGGAGAGTTTAAAGGGTTTCAAACTACCTAATAGTAGAAATCCACAGTTTAATTCAGCATACCCAAGGGGATGGAGACTTGTCTTCTCTGTGAACCACCAGTTCAGGCAAGATTGCTGGCCACAGTTAGGACAAGGGTGTCAGCACCTATATTCTTAAAAGTCCGAACCGGGCATCAGTTCCCCTACACTTAAAAGTCTGACCCTGGCATCAGTGCCCAGCTCATGAATGTCTAAACCAGCAGCCAACAGCTCCACCCTTGAAAGTCCCTGCTGGGCATCATCAGCTCTGCCCTTGAAAGATTGAACTAGGTGTCAGCACCTCTGTCCTACCTGGGTGTCAGTGGCTCTTGAACGTTTGAATGGGGGTCAGCACCCCTACCAGATGAGAAAACTGAAGCATAGAGATCTATGTAAGTTTTAGATGAGAAACTGAAGCATAGAGATCTATGTAAGTTACCCAAGGTACAAAATAAATTGTTGACAGAGCTGTGATTCTACTTAGATAGCATTTAGCTCCAGAGCCTCTACTTTTAACCAGTTCAGTAAACTACCTACATAGTGATAACTCAAGTCTTGATCTCTATTTTGGCATATATAGATGGCTCATATGACTGTTCCCTGAGTCTTTTTTGGGACTTTCAAACTCATGATGTTAAAAACTAATCTTATAATTTTTTCTTTTTTAATCTTATTCCTTACCTCATTGTTTGGACTTATACTTTATCTAGTTACCCAAGATAGAATATTAGAAATGATCTATATTCCTTCCCTTTCTTTAGTCTCTGGATCCAATTAGTGACCAAATTCTCTTAATATCATTATTCAAATATCCCACTGTTACTGATCGATCCGGTTCAGATCTCATTTTACCTTTCTCTTGGAGCACTGCTTTCTTACAGTCAAACCTCCCCACCTCACATCTTCTCCACCATCCCAGACCACCTATGTAGACATTTGATTAAGGCATTTCTCTACGCAAGTCTTCAGTAGCTTGGTCACTGGATAAAATCTAACCTCAGTTGCTCATTGTGAGAACCACAGAACAGTGCTTCTCATACTATCTCTGATAAAAGGGAAAGGTTTATACTTATAATCTATCAGGAACTGATACTTTTTTTTTTAGATGGAGCCTCAAGCTATCCCCCTGGGTAGAGTGCCATGGCATCACTCTCACAGCAACCTCCAACTCCTGGGCTCAAGTGAGTCTCCTGCCTCAGCCTCCCAAGTAGCTGGGACTACAGGCACCCGCCACAGCACCCGGCCGTTTTTTGGTTGCAGCCATCATTGTTGTTTGGCAGGCCCGGGCTGGGGATTCGAACCCACCACCTTAGGTGTATGTGGCTGGCGCTTTAGCTTCTTGAGCCACAGGCGCCGAGCCAGGAACTGATACTTTTATAAAATTTTAATAAATTGGTTATACCCTTGGATATAGTGCCAATGTTAAATTCTTATGAAACATTTCTAAATGTTTGTCATCAATTTCTTTGCTTATCTTATTGTGCAGCAGTAGCAGCTTGCAGGTCAACAATGCAAACTGCTCTGGGCTGCATTTGAAGAAGCCCTTTCACTTGAGATTGCAAGTAGGTGAAGTATGATTGTGAATGATACACTTGTCTCTCTCTTTCTCCTTTTTATTTCACTGCTGTGCATTGCTTCTTCTACCTGATAGGGTTGTCAAAGATTGATACGTATTGAAGAAGGTTTTTGTGTGGGGAAGAGGGAGACAAGAAGATAAAGTCTGTTTCTTAAGATTGCTCCAGTCAAGAAAAAACTTAGAAATATTTAATGCATTGTTGCATTGTTCATTTACATGTGAGGGAGTTGGTTGACTGAGTTAAGGAACAAGTTCAAAAACAAAATTTCTAAGGGAAGGAGAGAGGACAAAGAAAAATTGATATTCCAAGTGAATTTTGTTTGTACCTTTTTTGGTAAACTGATTTTCTGTAAGCTAACAAAATGGAGTATCTAGAAATTATGTCCTTGAGTGGACAGGGATATGAAAAACAATTTCAGTTGTTTGTGTGTTCCTCAGAAGACTTTGAAAGTATAGCTGTTGTAGAGTACACACATGTGGCTATCTCTGTTGTTAACATCTGTCAGTGATTTTCCATCAATACCTAAACCTTAGTTAGGCCAGATCTACACTATTTCTTCATTGTTATTTTTCATTCTTCAGCCACTTAGTTATGCCTGACTCCTTCAGACAAGGGCTAGAGGAGGGAGTTGATTAAGCAGGTTATGAGACTGGGGGGGCAAGATGGCAAAGTATGTCAGAGAAATGGAAAGAGGTATTCTTCCCATATATGTCTGTAGCAGCTCAATGAGGCCTGCAGATTTGGTATCTTGTAGACTTTGCAATGTAGTAGGGACCTGTGGGACAATACTTCAAGCAGAGAAGGAGAACATTGGGAGACAGGAAGTGGTTTTTTTCTAGTGGCTTGTGGAGAGAAAATACAGACTGTGGTTGGACATGTGGGTACTTAAGGGAATAGTCATATCTTGATGTGCTTGCATTGTTAGAAATAATGATTTAATAAGCTTAAAACTGATTTTCAATTATTTATTATAAGTAGGTTAGGAATTGAATTAAGAAAATGATTGTAGATGATGGGCAAAAGGGAACAGACACAGGAGAGAAGTAGCTCAGAGAATCCCAAAATCTGTTGCAAAGTGACAGCCTGAAGCCTGGCATTCTTCAAACAGAGGAACTGTCTTGTTGAAACTTGACTCCCACTCCCAGTGTGACTCAGCTCAGAGGTCACTGAGCACTGAGAGACAAGGCTTACCATAGGTGGGGCTGCGCTCTCAGGAAGGGTTAGTGCATTTAGGGGGTTAATGAGAGAATGCTGAATTGCTAGAGACAGAGTGAGCATCTAGACCTCATTAAGAGAGAAAAAGTCTCTCAGGAAAGATAAGGAGAAAAATATCTCCTTTATTCTGTCATCTCAGTCTAGACAGAAGTGCCAGATCATCTGTGCACAGGCTTCCTGGGGGCTTTAATCACCACTCTTGAGATTTGTGTGCATGGTCTAACTGGGGTCTTTGATATCCTGCTCTTGGACTATGTTCCCTGTCCCATGATCTGTTTGTGTTAAGATCATAAATAACTTAGAGTAATAATAGTAAGAGATAAATCAGGCTATTTAATGTGGTTAAAGAAATAGTTTGGTTAGAAAATGCAAGCCCAGCAAGAACCATGATGTAAGGGGTTATAGCCTTTCCTCCATTAGATCAATGATTAAAACAATGATGTGTGTAATAAAAACAGAGCTAGCCCACATCTGGGGGCTTCCATTGGTCCTCATGCCTGGAGGTGGCAAGCCCCCCAGCCAGCTTTACAAATTTTTCTTCTTGTGTTTTTGAGTTTCCATTTTCCTCTCATCCTCTCATTTCCTCCAGTCACTGGAAAAGAACTCATGGTGTAGTTTGGGGCTGGTTCCCAACAAGACATCGTATTGTTAGGGCTAGTTAGAAAAATGATCTTATTTGTTGCTTTTCATTCAGTTCCTGCCCCTAGTACACATCATTTAAACTTTGACATTAAAATTCACTTTATCTCAATTTAATCAAATAAAAGTTTAAGAAAAGCAGCTTGAACTTTTCTAAATGCTTTTTATAAAACCACTAAACTTAGAGTTAGAGATGTGAAATGTAATTGCTAAATTGGTATGGATTATTTGTATAATTGACTCATCTGCAAAATATGAACACTGGCCTATGTATCTATCACTTCTAGTCTGATATTATGGTAAGGAAAATTTGAGTATGAATCTCTTGGAAGGATAGTCTTTCTAGTGATAGAACCTTGTTCACACTTTTACTATTCTTTTTTCCCCTCTTAAGCGATTGCTTAATTCATAAAAGTACATTTATTGTCCTTCAAGGGCAAAGGGTGATTTTCTTTGTTGCTTTTCCTCTGATAGAATATTTTGGCACAAATTCCTATTTCCTATTAGTCGCCACTGGAAAGCATCTCCTAGAATATCTTTGGCAGGAGGATCCATGGTCAGTAATTCCTATTTCCTGATCTTGGTTTGATATGGCTAATAACCACATGGGTTGATTTAATAATGATTGTGACACTCATGATTGAGCAAGCCTTTATTCTTCCTGAAGGTGATATTGGGGCACTGCTCAGTTTGGAGAAAGATACAGGATTTGATTAAATTTTATTTTTTATTATTTATTACTTATTATTTTTCATGGTATATATTTACTGCATCATATTACTTTCCAGAGAGTTAGGAAAAACATCTAGTCCTGGCCATGGGGAAATAAGTCTTTGGGTTTATGAGAAATGAGCATAGATTAGACAAAATATTTTAAATGATCAATTGTTTATTTTTAATTGTTATGCATTATAATTTTTCAAGTTCCCTCTGTCCAAGATGATTTCATTGAATAAAGGTGGATACAGAATTTCAATAGAAGGATGATAGAGACAGATGTGCTAACTCCCATGTGTTTTTTTTAAACTCCCATGTTAATAAAACATATTTAGCCTCCATAAAATTGATTTTATATTTGTGGCTCCTTTGATATTTTTGGAAACATTAATTTGCCAAGGTGAAGAGGATCTAAAATTTAAACTCTCAAAAAAAAAAAAAAAAACAACATTACTTGATTCTCAATATCCTCAAATACTCAAAAATTTTCTAAAGTTAGCATTCCATGATACTGATTTCTTCAATTTAACATATCCTAAATGTACTATTCAGAATTAACTAGAGGATGAAAACAAACTGCCACCAAAGATTAAAGAGCACAGCATACTATAAACAGAATGATAGCAGAAGATAACCTCCATGAAGCTAATATGAGAAATTATAAGACAGAAAGTAGTGTTCCTTCTTCCTCTATCAACCCTAGGATGGATTGCTTTTCCACTGGTTTCTCACTCATAGTAATAGTATCCTTGTGACTGAGCAAATCCTAGCTGTTTTGACATTTTACTAGAACAGCCATATATTTCTGACTGCCTATTATTGGGTATTTTATTAAATCTCACATATTGTTCTCTATATCCAGATGTTCCTCTGATGTCAGATTGATCATTTAAATCCAGAGAATTGGCATTGTAATTAAAACACTCACCCTGGGACTTACCAAAGCCTGTAAGTCCATATTCATAATTAGTACTGCCATAGCTGCCATGTTTCCAACCTAAATCAGATGCATCTCTTTTCCTATTAACACTTGCAGAGTGAAAATAATCAGACCCAGAATTATGATAGCATGTAGGAGATCCAATTTTTGAGTTATACCTTGACCCTTGGGAGAGAGGATTCGAGTGCCTATGTAGAGAATTAGAAGTATGGCCAGAAAATTCAGAGGAAGATTCAAGAACATGACGCCTCACTCTGTCCTGTTGTTGAGATAAAGAGCGATTAGACTGATCTCCTGACAGGCCACGGGTGGATGCATGATGGCTTCTGGAATCAGAAGCAGCTTGTCCCTCCAAGTCTTCCAAGTGTCCCTCACTCTCACTGTCCTGACTGAGGTTGGATCCCTGGTGTCTGCTTGTCCTGGACTCAGAAGCTAGTCCCTGCCCTGACTGTGAGCGTCTCGATCTGCCTTCATGAGGGGAACCGTCTCGCTGACGTGACCCTGACCGCCTAGCCAAGTCTCCGGAGTGCTGCTGGCCAGATCTTTGCCTGCTAGCACTTGTGGATGCTGAGTGATCGTAGGCAGAATCGGAGACGTGGTGACGGGACCCTAGACTTTCAGACCTGCCTCCTGGTTGGTCGTGGTGGGCCCGGTCCCGTCTCGCTCTGCTTGATGTGGACTGTCTGTGACTGCTTGCGTGACCCTCACGAGACTCTGAGTGTCTAGAGCTATCTCGACCGTGCTCTTGGTGTGATCCTTGTGTTCCTCTACTGTCAGACCGGTGCTGTCCATGGGAGGACTCAGGCTGTTCATGAGAGCGAACCTGGTACAGGAGAGACCCTGACTGTCTCGCCCT